GGAGGGGGTGGAAAATACAATAGAAATAACAGTGACGTTTATAGCACTTGTAAACAATTCCACTCTCCACTGATGCTGCGTGTGAAACACACACCACAGTAGGTTTAAGAATCTGGAAGCACTGCTCCCTTAGACTGTTGAATTCAGCAGGCTTAAAATAGCAGATCTGCTAGATAGACTACTTGTATTCAGTCTGCAAGATCTTGGTGGTGCCATTATGTGTCCAATAAATAGATGACAGTGACATAAAATTTTATGTCTCTCATACTTTATGTGGCAAAAAATCAATTCTCTTTTAATTGCAGCCCAAACTAGGTCTTCCTCATCTAAACATGAACAATAACATTTTACCACCCACTGACAGCGACGGCTGATGATACTGTCCCACTAATGATTTATTTGCTTTGCCGCTGCTGCAGTCCCATTTTGAAAAACAGTTCTAATTTTAAGTGAAAGTTTTAGTGGAACATTAAGAACTATGTGCATTTGAACAATGGGTGTTTATTAATAGTACATTCAGGATTATGAACCCAACCAGCACTGTTCATCATCAGAGTCTCCCCATATATTCCTTAATGTTGAAACTGATGACACCTCGTCTGTGCTGGTACTTCTATACAGCACATCACTGCTATCAAACTAACATAGGCATACAAATAAACATAGAAGTCTGCTACCGCTTGTATGATATATATTCTGAAGTTGGGAGTCTAACATACCGATTGCTAAATATTTCACCATGCCAATATGTCAGCCTGGCTCAGTTGGTAGCACTCTCGCCTCTGAATCAGAAGGTTGTTGATTTATGTCTCACATCAGGATTTTGAACGCATCTTGTCTAGGATGACACTCCAGTGCACTGCTGTGGGTGTCCTGCATTGTCGGAGGTGCAGTTCTTGGAAAAAAATGTTAAACCGAGGTGCCATCTGCCTGTTTAGGTGAAGAAGAGTTGCTCCCGTGTCCTGAACATCAATCCCTAATTAAAATTAGGTGGGCACAATGGCTGTGGGTGAGACTCAGAGACTGTAAAACGAAGAAATAGAGCACAGTGGGAGGAGAGGAGGGTATTGATGTGAATGTCAGGTCGAGAATCTTGAAGTCAATCCACTGAACTGGACTATATTAATATTATTATATTATTATTGCTGATCACAATGAAAAGATTACCTATTTCTAGCCTTTGGCGTAAATTAATCCCCATTGTGTCTGGAAGCTACTTCCACCTTCCACTTCCACCCCCAGCGCAGGAGGCCAGAGGGAATACTGCTGCTGTAAATATGCTCTATCTTGTTTAGCATTTTAAAACATTTGTTGCACCGCACCTCTGGGCTCCGATAACAAATTGAGGAAAGAGCAACTTCTCTTCCCATTCTGTACAATTTGACATATTTTTCTGTGCTTATATTGAGTCACAGACTAACATTTACAGTAAGTCTCTAATACTTACTCTAATGAATTGTGTAGTGTCTGGGGCAAAGAATGTAACACTTAGTCCTCGCTCACAACATGTTCAAGATGGCAGCCAATGCCCTCTGGAGCTTGGTAAGAGGCAGCTACAAATGAATAATGGAGAATATTAAAAGGACCCTCTGTGTAATAATCTTCATTAAATCTATAAAATACACAAAATGTGCTTTTGTGCTAAATAATTTTACACACGTTGAAGAAACAGAAGGCACAATAGGAAATGGCATAAGGTCCATGTTATTACACTCCTAAGGACTTTTAGAACTCTGTCCCTCCTCAATGCAGGGATAAACCAAATCGCCTGCAGCACCTCACTCACTGTGTATCCTTGGTTCACATTTATAATTCAAACCTTGTGAGTTTCAGAATCAAAGCACACGATTAGATCTTCACCTACATCACAATATTTCTGCGTTCACTTACCGGGCACAAACAACAGAAAACAATTTTACATTATTCATGGGCATAACTCCTCTTCTCCTGCAATCCCCCCACCTTCTCCAATTCAAGAGTAATGCTGCTCGCTAACAATGGGCATTGCTGGTTTGCTAAACAGGGCAGCGTTTCATGTAGCACAGTGCAAAATGGAAAATTCCCCTGCAATTTGTAAACCTTAATATGAAAACTTAATGCCTAATCCATGTAGCACTGAACGCGTGAAATACGTCTGCAGATATCCATTGTACAAGTTACGGAAACAAAGCCCTGGATCACCTTTGGCCTTCAGAATGAACCCACAGTGTATTATATATCCTGAGATTATAAATGCATTGAAAGCCCTTTTTTTCATATCAATTTGAAATTATGCCACTGCAGAGTCCCAGGACAACAACAGTCATAGCTTTGTTTCTCTATGTGGCCCTCTGCAATTACCAGAATGCAGAAGTATAATTTAGTTCAGGTGAAATTCAATCAGTCAACCCTAGAAGGAAGGAAACAAAATCAACATCTACAGAAAAGCAAGCCGGTAGAGTCGTCCATTCAAAAACAAAAGCTCTTTACCACATTTTCAATATTTATTAGAAATTCTTCCCGTTCATGTTTATTATTTTTCAAAAAGGGATCCATTGACAGTATTTGTGCAGCTCCCTGCATCTAAGATGTTTCCCATAAGCATTTAAATCATTTTATGGTTTCTTCATTGCTCTGTCCCAGACGGACAAACACTAGTTGACAGCACAATAAACTTCCCAAGCTCTGGCTGGGCATACATAATTTATGATTTTAATATACTTACTGAGGAGCCTGTGTTTCACAGCCTGAATTATCAATGCATAAAGAAATTATAACAGAATATTTTACGCAGTGTTTGAAGCTATCTTTTGAACAATGGCGACAGCTCCTCATTTTCAACAACAATGGAGGGCAAGTAGGAGTCAGTTCATTAGAATATTCCTGCTTCACTCTGCTCTTTGCACATTAGACTCCAATAATGTCAGTTGTCAGTTATTAATGACAATTAACTAGTAATCAGTGCTGTGATTCTTTGAGGTGGTCTTAAACTGACAGGCAAAAAAAAACCATGGTCGACACCAAGTGTCAATCACGGTCAGAGAACCGCAGAGAGAGCATGGCTTTAACACAGACTGTGCAAGAATGACATTATATTGCCGAAAACCTCGTCAAGCCTTGGACTCATCTTCAGACCGACCACTTGGTTTTACTGTCACAAAGTGGGAGTCATAACGTTTGAGCTTAAAGATCTGAAACAATGCAGCTAAATTGACTTCACAGTTGAAGCCTAAAGTGAATTGTGTAATTAGTCTGTGCGTATTTTTTTAAATACTATAAATTAGACTGGCCTTCACCTGTTCAACTTTTGAATCGCTTTGCACACTTGTGCTACAGCTGCAAATAAAGTGATACAACATCACAAACAGAACTACAGTTAACACACTCCACCGACACGATTATATTTCCTTTGAACCAGGATAAGCATTTGTTATTTGACAGCTGTATAAGCCAAAATTGTACCTGAAATCAAAATGTTTTCTTTTGCTTAATTTATCTGGGTAAAAGTGACACCAAGGTCCAATTTGCAAACTGTGTAAATGATGTGCAAACCATGTGTAAACTGTGTGTACAGGTGAACTCCCAGGTGCTCTTAAACCATGCAATTAACCAATGAGAAAGGTTACAGATGATTCTATAATCCTTTTCATCAGTTGTTAATTACATACTTAAGGGCATATTTCATTCCCCATGTACACATGTGTTTACGCATGATTATCACAATTAAACCCATCATAATCTACCTTTAAAATTCTACATTGACATAATTTATGCATTATAAAAAAAGCTAATTTTTGGAGAACTTCAGCAGCATTTTTACTCAATAGGGATAATCATTTACTAATCGCTAAAATTAGCCATCTTTTCATTGCACCTTAATGTTGGGAAACCCTATTATACAGACGTAAGGTTAAAGAATTTTTTTTCACGATCGGGTAAAATAAACCCTCCATTGCCAAAGAATGAAACCAATCATTTCCAGTGATTTATTTAGAGGGGAGATTGATTTAAGAACTATTCCAAGATTCCACACATTTTAATTTTCAACACTGAACAATAGAAAATTCAAAGAAATTCATTTCTTTTGGGCTTTACGACATTTAAAATAAAATACCCAAGAGACTTTCAGTTAATCTGAAACAGTAGAATGCATGCAACCTGCTTTACAGTCGCACTTACACACACTGAGTTCTACTACAGTACTTAAGATATTCTCCAAAAACATTTACCGTTCACCAAATAAACTACAATGTGGAGCTCATCATGTAAAATACAGGTTTAGCTTAAGTGATTTCTTGCTTCCTAACTGAATTGCAGTTGTTATAATGGAATAATCCTGACAGCAATTCCTTCCAGTTCAAAGTTTAGGAGAATATAAATTTAAGTGCACCAACTACATTGTTTTTTATGTGAATGTGCATTTTGTTTTCTCTCCCAAACATATAACCCATCTTAAATATGTCTTCACCTGAAACAAAACAAATAAAGTTCTGTTTCATAACATGTGGCTATGTCTTTGTTGCCTGACATCGTATAATTTGTTATTACAGGAAAAGACGATAAGCAAAACAAATTCCTCCTATAATATTCTCTCTTTCTTTCCTCTCCTGAAAGCAGTTTCTGTACAGCATTATGGAACCATCTGCTCCCCAAAACTTCACCAAAGTGATGAGGCATTGAAGAGCAACTTAAGGTATCAGCCTACATGCTGAATATGGGCAGAATATTCAACCAGGGAGGCATTGAGGCCCTGCTCAATCCTGTCTTTATCCGATCTCCATACACATGCAGGGATCAATGAATGGATCATTGGATTCAAGTAATGAGCAAGAACCTTGGCTGATTTTTCCCCACCTCCATAAACCAAGTGCAGCATCCTTACTATTGCCCTGGCAGAGACCAGCCACCTCAACACACAGATGGAATTTGAACCTGGGATTCCAGGTCCACGTGGCACAGATGGACATGAGGCAGTGGGCTTATAGCAATAAATACATTTAGTAGTACTTTTGATTCTCTGGAGGTTTATTGTTATGAAGAGAACAGAAAAGTAAAACAAGTGCACAGCATATCAGGAAATGTTCAGTTAAGGAAAAATCATCCTAGAGTCTTCTGTTATGCCCCATTGAGTCTATTAAATGAATTATTTTACAGTATATATCAGTATGTGATCAGTTACACATCTGCTTACCTGGATGCTATTGTTTTTCAAATTCAGTTACATACAGCAGATGGTCTTCTGGAGACTTGCCATGTGTTTTGCTAAGGTGCAGTTTGACTGCATGTTTGCTCCCAAAAGTTCGGTTGCACATTTTACACTGGAATGTGGAGCTTGCATCCTCCTCTGACATCCCAAGTGAACTCAGTGACTTATTTGGTATGATCTTCGACATTGCCTGTTGTTCTCGAATCTGATCTACTGACAGTTTTGAGAGGTCCTTCAAGGAAAAACCTAAGTGAGATTCCAAATGGCTTACATAGGAGCAAGGAGTCCTAAACTGAGAGGCACAATCATTACAGAAGAAAACGGGGTGACCTGTATCTAAGTTCTTAAGGAATTTAGTTCCACCTGTCCTTCTCAACTGATACTTTACATTGGCCAACCAGTGACTTATTGTGGTCATGGAAAGACCAGTAAACTTTGAAATATGCACCCGCTCGTGTAGGCTTAGTCTGACATAATATATTTGCCTTCAGAAGATTCCCGTAAGCTAGCTGCAAACTGAGCCTGGAGTATTAGAAGATGCTGAGGGTTCCAGTTGGATTGCCTGCCCTTTCTCTTCTGTATTGGAGATACATCTTCTAAGGCATCCTCAAAGCTGCTAACATCTGCTTCGGACTTTTCTGACACAGTTGATGGGGTTGATGACTTTGGCGTCAAACGCCCAGTCAAGTTCTTCACCATGTCAGATATGTCCAACAAAGCATTTTCACGTGACGAAGATAATATGGTTTCAGTCATGGCTGAAATAAGCTTTTTGTTACTTTTTGATTTTGTTAAGTCTATTGGCTGATCATTATTTTCATAGTAGTATCGATCTACAATATCTGCTTGTTTGACCTGAGTGGCAGGAAAGATGGGCTTGTCTAACACACTGTTGCTTATTTTGTACAACATAGCCAATGGATCTAGGCTGGGGCTCAGTGGCTTGGCAGCCTTGCCCAAATGTGTGTTCATAATTGACTGTAGTGCACTAAGTGGATTGACAAATGGTGACTCGGGTGAATGGTCTGTAATAATTGCCATACTGTTACAGCCATTGCTAATTGTTGACTTTAAACATTCGGTTCCATTCAGAGAAGGGTCTTCAGAAATAGCTTCCTTCTTCACTTTCACTTCCTCCCCATCAGGTGCTTTCTTCAATGGTCTTGACTTGTCATGGTCATCAGCTTTGGGGGAGTCCTTGAGCTCCCTAACACTCACAGATAATGAGTCACAGGTTGTTTTATTTGAGACTGTGGCCAGTGTCTCCTTCTCTGCAGGTTTTTCCTCTGGCTTAATGGCCATTTTCCCCGTCACCTTCTCAACCAGCTCCTCCATGGCATGAACGTTGTTTTTCTGAGGTGGTGGAGAATGGCTGTCTGAAGTCTCCACTACTGACTGGAGCTCAGAAGGCAGTAGCTTCATACTATTAGCGTAGAATGGGGTCACCTGAATATTGTGGGGGTTTGTTTGAAAGGGTCTGACTACCCCAGACAGCTGATACGCTGCGTGAATGCTAGAGTAGCCTCCCCAGGCAGGGGCACCATTCTGGGCCTTATTGATGGCCGTGGTAACTGTGTTCTCCAGGGATTTCAGTATATCTATTCCACCTTTGGGACTTTCATCCAGATCCTCTTCCCGCAGGTACTGATAATGTGATGTCGGCTCAAACTTTTCCACCGAGTCGTCTTTTTCTTCTTTGATCTCTTTTTTGCTTTCACTGGTCTCCTCGACTGGCTCTTGCTCACGCTCTTTCTTCGTCTCAACAACCATGAGAGCTGGAGGCTCAGGCTTGGCTTGAAGAATGGGTGGCAGGACCCTTGTTGGAGTGCTTGGCGGCAAAGGTATGGACTGGATCTTCTCCTCGATCACCGGGTCGAACACCAGCAGCTTGCCTTTCTTTGAGGCTGAGTTGGTGACTTTCAGAAAGTGTCCGGTCACCATCATGTGAGTGGTCAGCTGCTGTAGGGTGTCGTGCGAGCTGCCGCACTCCATACACTTCAGGATTTGGGCTTTGCGAGCCTCGAACTGCCACGTGTAGCTGGCGCCATTCTGATAACCGTAACGGTTGTTTGGAGTCACGTACGGGTTGCCAGATTTCTGACCGGCACCCGACTCGGTAATTGTGATCCCTGGTGCATTGAGACCAGACTCTGGCGAGCAAGGCTGAGCGTCCTGGACTCTCTTTTTGGTGGGAGGGATAAGTTTTGACGTAATGGCTGGCACCGGTTCTTTTAGAGGCACTTTCTGGTAATGCTTAGTCTTTATCATGTGAACACTCAGATCTTGCAATGACTCGAATGAGTGACCGCAGTACATGCATTTCAATACCTTTTGCGCATCCTCCTTTCCCTCCATTTCCATGAGGGAGCGCTTCCGGGGCTTTGACCATTTCCTGGGGTTGTTTGAGTCTTTGTCCTGGTTATCGTCCCGATAGTGACCGGTCTCGTTCATGTGTACGGTCAGATCCACAAGAGTGTCGTAGGCAGCGCTACAATCCTTGCAGCGGAACTTGCTGGCTCCAGTGAACACAGACCCAAAGAGCTTACTACTTTGCCTATAAAGCTGCACCGTGCTGAAAAGGCTGGGCTCTGGCAGTAATCCATAAGAGGTTTGCTGTAAAGTTTTGGCTAATGCAGCCTGGTGCCAGTCATAACCTGCTCCGCCATTGCTGTTTTGGCTGCTCCCGTTGTGGCTGCTCCCGTTGCTGCTTGTACTGGTACTGGCTTGATTCGCGTTTTTCAGGTCAAGGCAAAGGTTTGACCAACATGAGCCTGACAAAAGATTGGAATAGGCCGCTTTCATCTGAGTTAAACTATCGGAGGCTGTGAGACTGTCGTCCTTCTCTTGGCCATCCTTGGAGGAGGTACTTCGGAAGTCAGCCAGCTGGTCACTGGTGTCGCTGGCTGGTGACCCATAGCCAGGATCTAGGTGGTTTGGCGTGCTGGCGGGAGAGTTCTGGTAACTGTGCACTTCTTTGTTCTCTTCTTCCTCGGGCACATAAACTCACCATCCGGGATATCTCCGGGCAGTTCATCGTCCTGCAAATCTTCTTCATTTAGCTCCGCTGCCTGCAGCTCTTCCTCAGGAACGTACGCTGAAAAATAAAATCCACAAATTAATAAAACGAGTTAAGGCAGGCAAGAACAGGGACATCTTCCTGCTCGAAAGAATAAAGCATTCATTGTGCGTAAATCGTCTACCACGTTCGTCTACAAATAAGCAGTCACTTCATTTGACACCAATTACCTGTTAAAGTACTTTCAGACCTTTTGATCTTACAGATGATGTGTTAAATGCAAGGTTTATTATCTGTGGGGTGACACACTTGGTGCATTGCCATCCACCACAGACTCAAAGGGCATTTACGGTTGGAGTTCATTTGTTGGAAAAGGCTAATGTCAACTGTGTGATCAGAAAGAACATCACAGCCTGGTGCCGGTCATAACCTGCTCCGCCACCATTGCTGTTCTAGCTGCTATGATCGTGGCCACTCCCATTGCCTGCTCGTATTGGAAATGGCTTGAGTTTTTCAGGTCAAGGTGAAGCTTTTGCCATCACAGTGTGTTTAACCAATGTTAGTGAAAGAATCAGATTTCTACTTCAACGCCCCCTAATGGCTCGCTAGAGAATGGCATTCACAATCACTGTTCCTTCTCCACCAGCACTTGCCTGCCATACATCGCCTTCCCCACTCTCTCAGGTAGGAGCCACGGAGTAAAGTCAAAGAGGTTTTACGAGAAGATAATTAGGATCAAAATATTTTTCTTTTTCCCTCCTCTCCTGAGGGCATGGATTCATACAGGTGTGCGGTTCTATCTGCACCCGGAGCACTCTGATATCTCTTCCAAATGACCATTCCTCATGGTTGAGCCTCGGTGCCAAGTGCCAGCTTGCAGTCTGCTCATTACTAAACATCCACATGCTCCAAACACAATCTGAACATCACTGAACATCCACACATTTGGACCTTTCTGGAGGTCACAATACTTGAAGATGGGAAGCCCGAAATTGCTAAAATGATGCAAAATTCTTAAATTTAATCTTAATTTGGAACCCAGTACTTTTTAAGATGTATAGAACACTGGCTTCTGAATTTGGGCAGAATTTAAGAATTTTCACAATATGACCTTTAATGTTAAGGTGAAACGACCTTACAAGCTAGGACTTGGTAGAATTTCGGGCCTAGGAAAACCAAGATTACTCTTTTCCTTCCCTAACCCAGAGATAACTGAGGATAAATGCAGCTCTCTTACTGCCATTAGTTAGCTCAGCAGAGATTAATTTGGAACCTGGTTCTTTTTAAGATGTATAGAAAACCGGCTTCTGAATTTGGGCCGATTAGGGACCTGGCACCTTCTTGGTCTTTATGCTTCTATTTGATTCCACTGGGTGCCGGGCGCAATAATCAAAACAGAATGCATTTTAGCTTTCAAAAAAGGTGTAACTTGCAGTGGTGTGGGGAAGAGCCACTATTTCACGATGGGACAATTGGCCTTCTTCTGTGCCGTAAATTCCTATGGCTTGATGGTACCATAAGTGGTGATTTTGTTAAGTGAGCTAATCAGAGACACAAGGTTAAAACCTTAAAATAAAAGATAAATACATTTTTAACCGAGGTTAACTACAATAGCATACACTGATTATATAGTGGAGTTTGCGTAAAGCTGCAAATATGCACAATAAAAAATTATATTATCTACTAGAGATATTCACTAGCAACCCAATGTTAATTTTAATATTTTATTCATAGGTCAGAACTACTTTAACTTTCACTGCAATTTTTGAATATACTTATTAGAAAGAAAGTTTATTTTACTTTTCTGATATGCTTCAGCTTCAGGTAACAGGATAGGGAAAGCAGAATGATTTATTGAGTGGGAGTTGCAAATAATTGCTAAGTGAGCAGGATTATTTCATGTTACAAACTGGTGGTATGCACTTCCTCCCCCTTAAAGTAGGCTAAGGGGGAACAAAATCAAAGCTATTGTATTAAGAGAGCTGTGGTGCTGACACAGCTTTCAGCACTGGTATGTACCACTGGCAATAATGTGTGTCGTGTAGCAAGGATACATGGAGACAATCCTCAGAGTTAAATTATTTTAAATAAGGACTCTTGAAATTGAAAGCTAGACATTTAAACTTTGATTTATTTGATGTTCCTCCCTTGCAATGGTCTCCCGAGCGAAGCATTCCAGCTCAGGTAACAGATGGCAGATGGTCATGGACATCTTGAGCAATGTTGCTTCTGAGATCAGTTGGCAATGGGCGATCGAGCACTGTATCACTGTACTTCCCGAGATCACAAGATCTTAAGATTGGCTTGGATGGGACTTAAGAAGGCCCTTCTGTCCATTTGAGCTGATCCACAATAACCCACCCTACAGTATTCCCATCGTAGCATCAAGCCATTTTTTAAAATGAGTGCCGTATCCTTCTCAAGCGCTCTTCCACCCTACACTGTATGAGAGGCGCTATATAAATGCATGTTGTTGTTGAAATCGTCCTTTTCAACCCTGAACCTGCATCCTTTCTTTATTGTTAGCTGTGTGACAGTGACCACCCCACCCCCAAAGAGATTGTGGGGATGTATGTGGGTGTATGTATGTTGAGGGGGAAGAAGCACTGGGCACCCCAGAGAAAACATGTATCAAATCTAGGATCTTGAAACAGGATACCTCCCGCCTCTCCCAGTTGTTTGCATTGCACCGCTTCTTCAGGTCATCTTTCAAAATGATGAGAAAGACCGTACTAAATCTCTCTTGTGACAATATGTTATTGCTATTTTTCAGCTCCCAGTGTCATGACACCCCTCATTCCCCATGCAGCACAAAATGTTTCCGGCGGGTGATATGCAAACATGTCCATATAAAGCCTATTTTGTGCAGGTAAAATGCTGAACATTTCAGTATTGCACTGGCACTGAAGATGGAAAAACAGACCCGCTGTCTGTAAAAATTAGGTCCCGTAAATTTGTGGTAACATTATTGTGAAAGAGGCTTCCAATAAATTTACACAGGCATGTTCTAATTTACAACACGCGAATAAAAGATGAAAATAAAAGTTCTCAAGTATTTTTATTCTGTTACAGAAAGCTCAAGGGGATGCGATTAAAAACAAGCATTCGTCACGTGGTACACTTTCGTGTGTAATGCAGATTAAGATGCAGTTAAGCCACACAAAGTGGACAACAGAAGAACAAGGTGTTAGTGAAGTGAGAGTATTATTAATACTACAAATGGAGCATTAATGAGCTTGTGCTTTACGCGGCAGACGATTGATAAAGCACTGCAAAAAATATATTTATTTAATAATAATCTTTAGATTTGGAATAGCACGTTTCATGTTGGGAGACTATCCCTGAGCACTTCACAGGGTACAACAACAACTTGCATTTATATAGCCAGATGCTTGGTAGCGTCTCGGCGCCCGTATTATTAGAACATACGGTACAGTTCAGTGACCGTGTGTTTTGTGGGCAAACATATTTCAACTGATAGTAAAAACTCCAATTTTTTTTAAGGGGGGGTTTAATGTTCACAAGAAAGTAAGTTATTTACTCTGTACAATTCCAATCATGTCACGCTGTATGACTGATGGACTCTGTCTTTCTTCCCATCCCCTCCACCCCCACATCCAATAGGACGAAGATGGTTTGAAATTTTATATAATACGGCAATATAATAGAGAGGAGTAGGCAATTTCATTTGATTGAATTACCATTTAATTCTCCATGATCAAAAGATCAGAATGCTAATCGTAAAGCCAAGATTGTTTCAACAAAATAGTAAGTGTACACTGTCCCCCAATATTAATTATAATTTAGGGACGATTTCTACTCTGTGCTGAGAAATTAACTGTATTGCGTGTTTTTAAAACATTTTTAAATCAAGTCCCATCTTGTCTATAAGTCTTTTCATTTGCTGAGCAGACAGATGTGCTGCCATCCTCAAACACTGTTGAAATGTGCTATCGCCTAATTAAACTGGACATATCTGTAATAGTGTATCTTTGCTAAATGCATTCCTTGTGCACAGAGCCGAATTATGCATTTAAGAGAGATATCCATTTAACAAGGATTCTTTTTTACACTGAAGTGTCATATATTCTTAACAAAGATAAGATGGGATCGTTCTTTGAGGTCTGAACTCTCCATGATCAAAAGATCAGACTGCTAATGGTAAAGCCAAGATTGTTTCAACAAAATAGTAATAGTCCACAAAAACAAACTGAAAGGACACAAGCTAAGCAATATTCAGAATATGTTGCACATTTTGTTACAAGGAAACTATTTGCCTACAAAAATAGTCACTACACTTGCCCTCAATTACCTCATGACATTTTGACAAGATATGGCGCTATAAAAATCGAAGTTCTTCAACCCATATTTTTTTAGATGCACAATTTTTCACAAGTTGAAAATCAATGGGTTAACTGTACTGTCCGTATGCTAAATACAATAGAAACATGCGCATCTCAGGACTACAGTATTTGAATGATAATCATATGAATAGGAAATAGTTTTCTGAATGAAATCAGCAACATGTTGGAAAATAAGAAAACCAAGGTGCGGTATATACAGAAAATTGCAAGTTCGGCAAATTGTTTTACCAATAATTGATAGCAAAATAAAGACTTTTATTCATACAGAATAACATTTGTTAATTCAATTGATAGTTACGTAGTGGTTATGGGCCAAACACTGAGCTTCCTCTTACTATCTTCTTGTGTTATTGTCTGTGAAACTGGAAGCATTGTAATTTTTACATCGATTTACTAGCACTGTACAAAGGTACGGTATTGCATATGAAGGAGATAAGACAAAGCCACTTGAGGTCATTTGAAGTGCTTTAAGCAGACAGAAATGGTAAATGTGCAGTCCTTTTAAATGCAGAAGAGCACTTCAGTACTGCTGCCCATCACTGCTCAACAACAACTGTGTTGCTTAATACTGATTTTCACCCCCTTTCATCAGCGCAGTATTTCTCTATACCTAGATTTGAAAATGATACTTCCTAGCCCATCAAAAAAACTATGGTTTATTTTTTCATTAATTCTTGCTTTGAGCAGATTAATGAAAGGTTCTTCATTGTAACA